GGACTGGTGTGCACCCCAACTATCTCTAGCAACTGTCTAGCAACAAACAATGCAAGTCCAAGAAAATGTCAGCGCCACATTTTGCCACATTGCAGCAAAAGCGAAACTTGTGTGAGCATTTGGCAAGCGCTGCTCAACAGCCACTGTGGGAATAGAAACATCCACTTGCACTTCGGCTTTAGATGCCACAGTTAGAGTTCTGTATTGTCCCAATTTGTCGCCTTCTAGATGCAGAATCCTAGCCCAGCTCGTGCCAAACCACTGTGCGTCGGCATCTTTGATGCAGTCATGGAGTATGTATGTATGTATGTATGTATGTACGCATGTGTGTGTATGTGTGTGTATGTGTGTGTGTATGTATGTATGTATGTAAGTATGTATGCATAAATGTAATGTATGTATGTATGCATGCATGAATGTAATGTATGTATGTATGTATGTATGTAAGTATGTATGTGTGTAATGTATGTATGTATGTATGTATGCAGGTAAATATATATGTATGTATGTATGTATGTATGTGTGTGTATGTCTGTCTGTCTGTCTGTCTGTATGTATGTAATGGGTTTATGTATGTCGTGTAGGGTAATGTAATGTAGTGCAATGCAATGTAATGCATTGATGTATGTATGCGTGGATGTATGTATGGACGTTTGGATGTAGCTATGTATGTTATGTATGTATGTGTAATGTGATGTATTGTCACGTAATGTAATGTAATGTAATGTAATGTAATGTATGTATGTGAGGATGGATGGATGGATGTACGGCATGCATGTATGTATGTATGTTTGTATGTATGTATGTGTGTGTGTATGTATTTATGTATGCATGCATGCATGTATGGATGTATGTAATGTATGTTTGTATGTACGTATGTATGCAGGCATGCATGCATGTATGTGTGTATGTATTGTATGTATGTATGTGCGTATGTATGTATGTAATGTATGTATACATTGTGCTGTAACGTGAAGTAATGTGATGTATGTATGCAGGTATGTAGGTGTGTGTGTGTATGTATGCATGCATGCATGGATGTATGGATGTTTGTATGTATGCAATGTATGTATGTATGCATGCATGAATGTAATGTATGTATGCATGTATGTATGTATGCACGTATGTATGTCATGTCTGTATTCAACTATGTATGTATGTATGTATATGTGTGTGTATGTATGTATGTGTGTAATGTAATGTAATGTAATGTAACGTGACGTAACGTAATGTAATGTAATGTATGTATGTATGTATGTATGTATGTATGTATGTATGTATGTATGTATGTATGTATGTATGTATGTATGTATGTATGTATGTATGTATGTATGTATGTATGTATGTATGTATGTATGTATGTAATGTATGTATGTATGTATGTATGTATGTATGTATGTATGTATGTATGTATGTATGTATGTATGTATGTATGCATGTATGCATGTATGTATGTATGTATGTATGTATGTAATGTATGTAATGTATGTAATGTATGTATGTACGTACGTATGTATGTAATGTATGTAATGTATGTATGTATGTATGTATGTATGGTATGGTATGGTATGGTATGGTATGGTATGGTATGTATGTATGTAATGTAATGTATGTAATGTATGTATGTATGTAATGTAATGTAATGTAATGTAATGTAATGTAATGAACTTAGTGTATGTGTGTATGTATGCATGTATAAATGTATGTATGTATGTATGCATGTATGTGCGTACGTATGTATGCATGCATGCATGCATGCATGTATGTATGTATGTATGTATGTATGTATGTATGGGGCCCTGCCTGATGGAGAATGTCAACGATGCGCAAACAAAGGGGCCCGCGCTTATTCAGCGGTACCTGCTTTGCAGCAGGGTCCTAGCTTAGTTTCAAAAGAGGGGTCCTGCACCTTTCGGTGCTTACCACCTTTCGGTGGGGCCCTATTTTTTAAACCCTGCCTCTTCTTCCAGCGACAGTCCTTAGAGCCTTAGTAGTAAGTGCCTGACAGGTCCTTAGCACACAACCCAACCCAACCAACATGCCCATTAAGCCAGAACCCACCAAGTCCACTTTACTTTCAGGATGAGGGACATTAATTTGTTTACTTGGTTAATTCCTCGATTTGTGGCCTGCCCTCACCCCCCCCCCCCCAAGAAAGAACATGTGGATTACTGCAAATACAGCTTGAACTACAGGAAGCAAATGAGGTTGTGGGCTAAGATTGAACCATGGAAACCCAGACCACTATGCAAAGGGATTGTGGAAAGGTGAGAAATGGGAGACACCTTGAAACTGCTCAACAGCTGCCTTGTGGAAAAAAGGAGGTTGTGGTGATGGATGCATGAAGCATAAGCAGGAAGAACTATACAAAAATACCGACTGATTTGACTAGTGTTTTTTTGTATATAGTTTGGACTGAAGCATCATCTTCAAAATCAATGGGTCTTTGTGTTCAGCCTCTAACAAAACAATGAAACCAGCCCCCAAAACACACCTTTTCAAAACAAAGAAAGGTGTCAACAGGTTTGAGACTAACATAAAAACAAGAATAACAGTTCAACCCCAAACAGTCCACCCCTGGCTAGCCACATTCTTGCTTTTTAAGGGGATGGGGGACCCGGAGGTGTTTGGTGGGAATGCGCCCTTGAATGGCACTTGTGCATTTTAGGTTGGCTTGTGCTTCATGTCCAGAACTAGACTTAATCCCTGTGCCATGTGCAACAGCTTGTTCTGTGTGATGGTGTGTTTTTGTATTGTAGGGTTGCCTGTGTCATCAAAATAATGAAGACCACTTATGCTCCTTCAAAAGCCAGTTTGAGGGTTCTTGAGCACCCACCACTTGGGCTTTGAAATAGTCAATGTGCTCCAAACAATGCTATTAGCATAGCTCATCATTCGGACACCTGTCGTCTTTGCTCTGCTGTGTTCGGTGCATGAAGGGGATGCCCAATTCATATCAACCTCACCCGCACCAAACTCTTTATAGCCCCAACTCAAATATCCTGATTGACATTAGCATCTTTCAAATCTAGTGGAATCACACTGAAACCCAAATCCTGAGCAACCCTAGCAACACTATCTGTTCCACTAAATAATTCCCATAATCTCATATGAACACGCTATTGAGATACTGTTTTTATTGTTACAGTAATGTGTGTAAGGTAGTGAATTGAAAGCATCAATGTAAAACATGTTATTTTCATAGTTTATAAACTCTGTTTGAATGGACTCATTTAAAACGATTTGATGATATCGTGTTCTGTTTGATACAGTGATTTGTGGAAGAGTTCATACATTAATTCTTGAGATGAACTAAGTGTTGCTAATGCCCAAGTAGTGAATGACGTCACTCTTTCTGGGAAGAAGGGGCTTATTGAAATTTAAGAAGGTCCAACATTACATCCGTCGTGTGTGACCCTTCCCAAACCCACTCCCCGTTCCCCACTGTGCACCTTGATGAGCAGCTTCTCAATTCAACTTAAAAAGAGGGTGCTCTTCAGTGCTTATGTGTGTACCTGCTTTTCAGTGGATTATATTTATTGTTTCAGGGTTAATTTAACATTGCCTTGAACTTGGATGAAGTGCTGGAACCTTCAAATCATGGGGGCAAGGGGGGCAAGGGTGCCAGCGTGGTGGGAACAAGGTGGAGCCAGGGCACACGCACCTGTCGATGGGAGCCAACATGGGCCAGAAGTCAAGTAAAGCATAGAGCTCAATTAGACCAACTTCCCATCACCTTCCCATGTTGCCCACCACCTTCACATGCACACTTCAGCCTAGCAAACAAGTTACATGTCAGTGGGCCAAGGCCAGGAGCCAGCAACTAGCCTTGTGGCAAAGTCATTAGGATGTTTGACATGGTACTCATGCAGGTATTCATGCAGGACATGCCAGCCGTTGAAAAGCACATGTTTTTGAGAACTTCTGCCTTGGATTGCACTGGCCACATGCAGCATAACATTGCAATAGGTTTCAGGGCCAGGGCCAGAGCAAAATCCTGGCCCTGGATTTACATGCAGTGTGGAAATATTGAGTGAGCTGGCAAACAAGTAATTTATCAGGGTGGAAGTTTCTGCTGTCATATGTTTTTTCCTAAGTTTTCCCTAACTGCCACTTCTCCATGAACAAACTGTCACTTCCAATGAACAGGGATTTGAACCCATTAAAAGTTAAGCTTTTGGCGGGATCTGAGGACAGCCCTGTTCTGACAACTGAAAACATTCGTAGGGGGCCCACCTCACGAGCCGTGGCTGCTGATTCGGCCCAATTGGACCCGGGGCCAGCTCCTGGAACAAACATTGAGCAAGTCGCTTTGCCCTTCGATGGGAAACAAGGTCTCAGAAACAGGGTTGTGGGATCACTCGGGGTTTTTCCAACCACTTCTGTGATACTTTTGGGAATCTCCCCCTTTATATGGGGGGTTAGTCTTTGGGAAGCCCTTTTTGTAGTATCACAGAAGTGGTCATTTCCCACAGCCCTGTTCAGAAACGAGTCCAAAGACCCAGCTTCGCTGGCCATCGATCATTGTCGACGACGCAAGCTCACCGCACGCTCCCATCCAGCCTGTCCAGCGGAGTCCAGCAGCTCCGGCCACCGGTGCAGAGCTTTCCCACGCCTGGGAACCGCTCCCAGAAATCCGCACATCAGGCCCTGACTTCCAGGTCTGTGCCTGAGCTTCAGCGCTTCACCGACGCCGGCCCACAAAAAATCGGTCGGCTTGGGGTGCAGTTCGCGTATCCGGGACTATGACCTTTGGAACCTGGATCTCTGAAATTTACCACGCTGCTTTTTCTGAAGGAAACCCTCGCACCGTTTGGGGCCCACACAACAAAAAGACCTTCGCGCCACCTTTTTCTAAGAAGGGGTGGCAATTTGCTACAGTAGTGCCCTTTTACATTTTTTTTTGCGGGAGGGTTCCCCTACTAAAATAGACGTCCTGAAAAAAGGACGGTACCAACTGCTTCTAACCGGAAAAATCCGGACCGAAGCCCGCTCGCGAGGTCCTGGGCCAGCGACTGGCGAGGCCTGCGCTTGGGCTGCGGCACGTCCCAGGTCGGAAGGGAGGTGTGACAACTCTGGGAGTTTTCCACGATCCAAAATGAACACACATGGGTCTGGCTCAAAAATCAAGACCCAGGGTTACGCAGGTTTCAGTCTGTTTTTCCATTCCCGCAGGGTTGCATTTTGGGCCCCTATTTTTGACCCACAGCCACATCCCAAATCCCCCACAGAAACCACGGAAATTCTTCTGAAGAGCCATGTTCTGTTGAAAGTGATCTTCGTCAGATGCCATGTGTGTCTTCAGGGAGCAGTTGACGGTGCCATTGACATAATTCTTTGGGTGGTCCAATTTCCGAAGGGGGCAGCCCTCAGATCTCGCAGAGCTCGAGGTTCAGAGTGTGGTTCTGGCCTGGACGTTAAATGTTGTCTTCCCCCGAAATTCTGCAGGTCTCCCTCTTAGAGAACATGTGGTTTGTTTAAATCCAAAGTCGCCTATATGAAATGTAGAAACCAATATTCAAATCGCGATGTATCCTGCTGACCACTGCTGACCCGTGTTCAGGGGTAGGGCCTGAAACGCGGGAGCCTATTTGGGGACAGAAGATGACTCAACAGGAAGGAACCGGGGGGCTAACAGTAGATAATAATCTTCCCAGGTTTGTTTATTTATTTGTTTATTTGTTGTTTGTATGTGTTGCGTCATTTGTTTATGTTGCGGGGTGGCGGGGGCCTTTTTTAGTTAGGAGGAGATTTCGCCTCAAGACCTTCCCTGTTCTTTACGGTACAATTCCAAATCCCCAGTGAATTACGTCTGATGATTTGGGTCCCTGGTTTATTGGTCGCTTCCAGGGGAGACCAAATGCAAATCCACTATGTTGTGAGTCCCCGTTAAAAAACACACACACCCAAGGTTTGATTAATTCTCCGATGCCCCAAATGTTGCGCGTGAGCTACGCACATCCCACGACGAATTTGTGAAACGCAATCATGAGCGTTTCCGGTTTGTTCCCAGTTCCTTGCAAATACTCATTCACTTTGGTTCCCTACTTGTCTTAGCTTCCCTGTTTCTCTTTCCCCTGCTTTCTGGTGCTCCTCCACACTCATTTGCCACGCAATCCTTGCCTTGCCAGGTTAACATGCAACTTCAACACCCACCGCTTTCGAGAAATCGAGCCCCGTGTTTGGGTGCCATATCAATTTGCAGGACAGCCTATGAGTTCACTCATCCACCCTGACCCCAACCCGGACCCCCACCCCACCTCCCTGCCGCAAGCCTTGCAGATCCCATGGGGCCGCTTGAAGCGTCGCATGCACCGCTGCCTGAAGCAGAACTCACAACGGCAGCTCAGGTCGGCCACGAGATGCAAGGATGTTGGTCATGGACTGGGCATATGGGTATGTGTCGAAGCTTAAAACAGGGGACCTCAATGGTGGTGTTTCTTTTGGTTTCCTCGCGGCTTCCTTTTGGCTTCATTTTGACCAAGGTGAACCTCAGAACTCACACGCAGACATGTGGCAGGATGTTTGTTTCACGCTGCCCCCCAGTATGTAGTGATTCTAAAGGGAAATGAAAGCAACCCCGCATTTTTAGGGGCCTCTCTAATTTCTGCAACGCCCATATCGATGTTGGCCGTGACACGTGCACCTTTCAGCCACGGTCCATATACAATCAACATTTGCTGCAGTACAGGGGATGACATGGGCCACACTACCAAATGACAATTCATGAATGATTGCTTTCTCATCAGAATCTCATGTTAATTGGGCCATAATGAATATTATTGACAGTGGCTCACACAATAATTAGTTGGAGTTCATAGCAGAAGTCGCTTCGACGCGCGTTGCGCATCTGGGGCTTTGGGGTTTTGTGCCACTGGTGTGCTAGTCCAAAAGGCCTATGTTTCACGTGATATCGGGGCTGGGAACCCGCCCTTTCCGAGGAACTGGGTTCCCTTTTGTTTCCTTAGGCGCGAGCCCGAGGATAGGCGCCCTTTTTGGCCGCTTGGAATAGATGGCCCTGGTTTAGTGTGGGTCAAGTTGTTGAGCCAATGCCGGCCAAAGTTGCGAAAGGACTCCGTGGTCAGAGCTCCCTCGGCTTTTGACGCGTCATGGTGTTTCTCTCCCTTCCCTTTTCAAATACGCTGCTTGCCTTCCCGCGTAGGACAGCACCAGGGTCCTGAAACGAGCTCATCTTTTCGACATGAGCACAAGTCGGCATGAAGGACTGGAACGAGGAAGCTGACAAAACACTGCTGTTTTCGGCACTTGTTGGCCGGGTGACGAGCAGCTTTGACCGCTGCAGTTCATCGCCATGTCCGGCCTTGCAAGAAGCAATCTCATTGAGGCCCACTATCTATAAGGCTGCCAACCAAGAACAATATCTTGTGAACCTGGACGCAGGTCTTGTTTTTCGATGTTCAGCTCTTCATGCTCACTGATGCAGCGCTAGTCCAAGGCTGGTCTGAGCAAGACCACGACGTCTCATGTTGAGCGGGCGGGCATTCAGCCCTTAGTTTGACCCCTTTTCAGGTTGCTGCCCGCGTCATGGTACCGTAAAAACTCCGTTTAAGACCACATGCACACGGCCATCCTTTGGATCCTTTGGGCGTTATTGCGCCCTGAAACGCTGGTGTGAAGATACCATTTGCGTTTGGATACATCTTGTCGATTGAAAGCGCTGACCCCCCCAAACAACACACAAAAGCAGTATGGCGTGACACGAAAAAGGGATACCACGTGAGCCATTTTTGAAAAGACACTGTAAGACTGCAGAGCACAACTTCTTCTGCCGCCCTTTCCAAGCACGGCCGGCGGTTTCTACGAGACTTCCGTTAAGCAACCTGAGAAACTCCCTGGGCAGCTTTGTCAAAAGGAGTTGAGGTTAACCCATGAGGGTTTCCGTCTCTGAATTTCATTTAGGGAGCCCTTATTTGGGGCTGCTGAAGTAAGTTGGACACCTACGCGTGGGTCAAACACGCATCGCCAGGCCAGGCTGCAGCCCCGCGAGCTTCGTGGGCCCGTTGCGGCAAGCGCTCGCCTTTCCGGAGCGGCGGGCTGTGGCCTGAGATCGGAACCGAAGGTCCGAAACGAACCGGAGTCGTTTGCTCTGATGGACCTTCGAACGTAACTGAAATTTCTGCCTCCCCTGTCAATCGGCTGGTTTTTGGAGTTCGTACCTCTTTTTGTTTGCTTGTCCTCTTGTTTGGACCGCAAGCGGTTTTTGGAGGCATGCGGGCTGTCAGGTCCTGATATACTTGAGCAGAAGTTGCGCGCAAAACGCCCGCAACGGCCCGCAAAACGAGCGCCAAAACACTTAAACGAGCGCAACTTTGCCAAGTGCTCATTTAAAATATAAACCTCGGGCACTTTTTCATTGCTCGGGCAGAAGTTGAAGAATCGAGTACAAGCTGTAAGTTTGAGCAGAAAAAAAGCGAATGGAAGGTCCAGGATCGATTGGGTTCGGGACCCCAGTAGTGCACTTTTACCCTCTTTGGGGGGAGGGTTCCCCCACTAAGATAGACTACAGAAACAAAAATATGGTACTCTCACTCTAACCTCTCTACTGGAGGACCTAGTTGGGTTCGGGACCCTGAATTTCCTATGTCCACCAACATAGGGCTCGATCCCTTCCAGGGTCACTGTGCAACTGGGTACTGTAGAGTCATCGAGCAGCTTGGCTTTCGGGCAAAAGGCAGAAATCAATTAGCCCATCTTAAACGAAAGGCTGAGTTTACCAACCCTGGCGTGAACCTGTAGTTCAGTGCTTAATCAACAGCACAGCTGGTTATGGCTTTGCTGTCGGGAAACATCTCTTGCTAAATGCCTGAATGCGGTAGATCAAGCCTTTCTTCAATTTAGGTTATATCAAGTATTGCGAGTAGCGCAGATCTGCTTAATTAACCTAATATTGGCTGTGTGGGAAAAAGAGTTCCAAGTGGCCGGTTCCTTTGTTTTGCTTGGGGCCTCCCCTGTTTCCTCATATTGTGGAATGTTCAATCATCATGTCAATGTTGGCCAATGTTGATAAGGTGTCCTTGCGGTTGGGCAGTCAAAGCAGACATGGTGCGGTGCTTGAAACTGGCTGCAGCAGCTTTTTATGCTTGGAATTCAGCTGTCCGTATCGATTTTGCTGATGCTGAAATATACCAGCACGTTTGTATTATTGAACCCTTGTGGACTCGGGCGATTGATCCCTTTTTTTTTTATGAAAATAAACGCCGGCAGGCCGGCATGTGCGTGTGCGCGTGTGCGCGTGTGTGCGTGTGTGCGTGTGTGCGTGTGTGCGTGTGCGCGTGTGTGCGTGTGTGCGGGTGTGCGGGTGTGCGTGTGTGCGTGTGTGCGTGTGTGCGTATGTGCGTATGTGCGTGCGTGCGTGCGTGCCTGCGTGCCTGCGTGCGTGCGTGTGTGGGTGGGTGCGTGCGTGGGTGTGGGTGTGGGTGTGGGTGTGGGTGTGGGTGTGGGTGTGGGTGTGGGTGTGGGTGTGGGTGTGGGTGTGGGTGTGTGTGTGTGTGTGTGTGGGTGTGTGTGTGGGTGCGGGTGCGGGTGCGTGCGGGTGCAGGTGCGGGTGCGGGTGCGTGCGGGTGCGGGTGCGGGTGCGGGTGCGCGGTGCGGGTGCGGGTGCGGGTGCGGGTGCGCGTGCGCGTGCGTGCGTGCGTGCGTGCGTGCGTGCGTGCGTGCGTGCGTGCGTGCGTGCGTGCGTGCGTGCGTGCGTGCGTGCGTGCGTGCGTGCGTGCGTGCGTGCGTGCGTGCGTGCGTGCGTGCGTGCGTGGGTGGGTGGGTGGGTGGGTGGGTGGGTGGGTGGGTGGGTGGGTGGGTGGGTGGCTGGGTGGGTGTGTGTGTGTGTGTGTGTGTCTGTGTCTGTGTGTATCACTGGGATGGCCAAAAGTTGGTGCAATCAAACAGTTGACTGTTTTTGTTTATACAGGGAATCATGGCACTCGAAGGGGGAGTGTGTTTTTTGTCGGGGCCCATTTTGGGGGTGTTTTGGGAAACTAAAGCGAATCCAAAGTCAAACCAAATGGAGCCTTCTTTGTTTATTGCCCCCCCCCCCCGTTCCTAAGAGACCACCCTAGTGGCTGGGAATGTTCTAGGGGTTGATTCCGGCTTGTTCACAGGGAAAGTAGCTGCAGACATGTTGGCCTTCATCTTACCCTTTTGGTCTATGAACCCAGAAGGCCGGACTTTTGAAAATAAACCCTGTCCTCCCCACAATGCATGCCTCAGGCTACGCTTGACCGATCGACAGAGAGAGAGTATGGGGGCCCGGGTCACAAGACGCCGCCGCCCTTGGGGTAGAGAGATCTTTCCGAGGCCCTCCAGCAACTCTGCAGCGCCCTGCAGCAGCCGGACCTTTGCCCGCCGCGGCGATCGCTGAGGCCAGCTCGCTCCGAACGCGGCGGCAGGTTCCTTGATGTGCGGTGTGTTTTTTGTTGAGGGTACCTGGTTTTTGGGTTGGGTTGCAGGTTTCCAAATGAAAGCCACCGTTTTCTTCCCTTCCTCTATTTCGACACATATCCAATCATACCCATTTCATTGGACGGTGCTGTTGTTTGGAGTATGGTTGTCCCCCCGCCCAACACAAGATAGCCAGGTCTGAGCACTTGTCAAGGACTCGTGGCCCGATCGTAAGACGTGGGTGTGTAAACTGCCCTAGACGAAAAGGAAATGTTTTAGGTGTATGGTATATAAGAACCCCTGTATTACCGTCACCAGTCGCAGCCGTCCTCCAATCGATGCAAACCCGCACCAGTTCAAGCTTTAATCCTCTCACGTGCACCGTCACTTGTCGCACATGTTTCGTCTTGCTGATTGTCAGTAGGTATGAGCTCCATCCGCACGAGTTTTCCAGGGGGCCCCGACCTCATTCCGCAAAGTGAAGCCCAGCAAGAAAGTGAACTGTTGGGGGGGGGGGGGGGGGTGGGATTCTTAAGATTACTTTTGGTGGCTGGTGTTTATTTTTTACCGGTGGGTGTCCCGCATGCTGCAATTTGACCAAGCACAAGCGGTGCTCCCTACACACCCGCGTGGGCGGAGGCCACTGGACTGGTCCGAGTGCTGGCTGGGTGTCGTGTCCGCCCTCGTGGCTGCCTTTGTAGCTGCCTTGGGCGAGACCACCGGTGCGGTGCGGAGGCTGGGAGCAGATGTGTCCAAGAGCGCGTGTATCTATATCTACATCTGTACATAGAAGTATATATATATAAATATGATCAGCCCCCCCAATGAACTACCTTTCCTTCTTTCTTTGTAAAATGACTGCAAGAAAACCGTGTTTTTCATATCAAAGCCAAACATTGCTGTTCCCAGGGGCCAAGGAGGCAAGGACCGAAGAGGTTCTCTCGCTTCCTGGTTCCACTTCAATAGGACCTTTGGTGCATTTTGCTAAGGAATGTTAGGACTTTAACTTTTTGCCAACTAATGGGTTTTCCATTAAACCACTAAAAATTAGACTTTTAGCAGGGGAGCAGAAAGCAACCGAGGGATGACAGGGGGACAAAAGTAAAAGGCCGAGGACCGAAGGGGTCCAATTTTGGGTGTCATCCAAAATTCGGGGCTGGTCCAAACGTTCTCGACCTGGAAGGGGGCGGGGGGGGAGGGGCTTTGCTTATCAGAAATAGCCATTAGGTTTGCTCAGGGTCAGTTTTGTTTCGTTCTCCTTGCCTTGGCTCTTCTGTCCTTGGTCTTCGTGCTTTTCCCGTCCTCTTGGCTATTGAAATCAATCCCCTTGTTTGCAACTTGTTTTAGCTTTCGGACTAGACTTTTCTCATTGAAGCACTGGTGATGCTGGGGGTAACGCACGATCGCGACATCTGCTTTTCGTAATCGTCAAAGCATTTCCTTCACTAAAACACGGCGATGCTGGGGGTGTTGACCGCTTTGGCCTGCGGACCAGAGCGACATTTAGCAAGCGGAGAAGCGGTTTCTTTATTCGAGGACTGGTGATGCTGGGGGTGTCGACCACTTTAGTGAACAAGACCTTTGCAAGCAGCCCAAGCCATGTCGGGCTGAACAGTGAATTAGAATTGTGCATTTGTTGTTAAAGAAAAGTGATGCCGTCGAATGACTTTGAAAACTGGCGATTGGAAACCACGCCATGCACTTCTACCTCCCAAACCTTGCCGCACGTGAGCATACCTTGAACAGTCTCAAGATTCCAGCTTTCTCTGCCAGGAAAATGGGTTCGTCCCGCCTTGGTGATGGATTCGCTTGCCTCTCACATCAAGAAGGCGAATCCCTTTTGAGCACGCCGCAGAAAAGATGCAACGACGTTGAACAGAGTCTAAACATATACATATATATATATATATGTGACGTCAATTTCGCAACCAAAAGGCGAGTCCCTTCGAAAGTAGAGAGGACATTGAACAAAACTGTTGTAGTAACATGTTAGGAGCCCCCTTGTATACATACGATACACCTGTCGCTTTAAACTTCCGGCTGCTGCAGGGCAGGCAGCGCTGGGGCTAGTATGAACGGTCACACACACATATATATATATATACATGTATATGCATTAAGCTGGAGAGCCCTTTGATACAGAAACATGTGCCCAAGGGCCATTTGACATGTTTTCGGGCATCACGGGCACTTCTTCACAGAACGAGCGCTTGTTTATACTTGATTGAGCTCTTTTTGGTGTGCCTGCTGGAACTCAATGATGAAGCTGACTGCGCTGCGACACAAACGGCTAGGCCGTTGGGGTATGATATCATACTGTGAGGGGGCACTTGTCATGTCGTAATGCAATATTAAAGAATGAGCTGCACGCAACTCGGGCGCACCTTGGCGAAACCCGGGTGCAACCTTGCGCAACCGGGCGCAACCTGGAAAAATAGCGCAACTCGCCGGCTGGAGATGCCTGATTTGGTGTTGTGTACCAAAGAACTTTGATACACATTTTTCGGTAGCAGTGGGCTGTACAGGAAGCACATTTACTCATGCATATTGTCTGTGCTACATGCACTTCGTATGTGGACACACACACATGCAGTTTTGAAGAATAGTTTGGCTCAGTTTTCTCCGACTGCCTTCAGTTTGCCAGAGTTGAACACTTGCTTTCGGGCCACCGATGGAAGGGCATTGCCGAGCCTTGGACTTTCTTGGGGTTCTCGGTTAGGCATTGGCAGGGAGCCTTGGGGCGGTCTTGTTGGTGTTTGCTCTGACCAAAGTCCGGTTGCCCAGTGCCTGCTTTCTCCCTCCTTGTCTCCCGTTGGAATCAACTTCCAAAAAGAAGACAAAAGAGCGTTCCCGCGTCCACTGGTACAGAAGAAACTTTTGCAACCAAGGTATTTGTTTCTTAAGTTGACCTTTTATTGTTGGATGGATTCACCTATTCCAGTGCTTCCAGTGGCCAGTATAGTAGCTAACCAGGTATTTTACCTCTAAGAGCGTGATGGTTTCCCCTAATGACCAAGTCAGATGGAAATTGGAAGCACTTGGTGTGCCTTCAGCGGAGGTTCCTGCTGGCTGCGGCTAGGACGTACTTGGCAGAGACGAAGGCCATTGAGAAAAGGATCAAATTTCAACGTAGCTACTCCCCACTACCAAAAGCGATGTCCTTTTGGGATCTTTGGGCCAGGAGTGTATTCTCTTTAAGCCGCAGCTTTGTGACCTTCAACCTCTTTTGCGGAACACTGCCACTTGGTCTGGTCCTTTCTCTGGAGCCTTTTTTGGGATGTGGGCATGGCAGCGTTACAGGATCTTGCAGCCTCCAGAGCCGCACCTGGAACGGGCGCGTTCGATGGATTTCAAGATATTTCAACCAAGGCTCCTTAAAAGATACGTTTGCAACCATTTGAAACATGGCTTTTTCCACCAAAAGAAAGGGAGCCCACCATTGACGAGGCAATGTTCAGGTGTATATTGTAAGGATCCCTGTTCAACCAAGGCAATGTCCCAAATTGTCCGGCATGCGTCGGCGTGTGTGTGTGTGTGTGTGTGTGTGTGTGGGTGGGTGGGTGGGTGGGTGGGTGGGTGGGTGGGTGCGTGCGCGTGCGTGCGTGCGTGCGTGCGTGGGTGGGTGGGTGGGTGTGTGTGTGTGTGTGTGTTTTTTGTTTTTGTTTTTGTCTTTTTCTGTTGTCACTGCTTGTTGATTACAAGGCGCATTCGATGCCCTTGTTCCTATTGAAGAGGAGCCGATCAAATTAGTCGATCAAGGACATGGTGGGTTTGCGTGCTCAGTCATGGTATTTTGGGATCGAAGCAGGCTGAGTTTGCTCTGAGATGGGGTACGCCATGTTTGTATGGAGACCAACAAGCAACTGCTATGTAAGAAGGAACAGCTAGGCCGGGTTCTGAGCTTCTGCCTTCAGGAAGCCGCATCTTTTCGGGTTTGCCAGACCCGTTGCGATGTGCTCCGAGGCGGTCCCCATAGCTGCATGGGGTTTGGGCTGACTGTCGATTTTGTTCTGCAACCTCCGCTTGCTGTAGGACATGGCCTTGAGCCCTGACTTAACGTATAACCGGCATACGGATGACCCAAATCGTGCGCAGATGAATTTCCCGCGACCTCGGGGAAAAGATCTGTTTTTCAATTCGTACATTTGGTGAGGCTAGCAGACCTCGCATGGCTGATCCGACTTCCCGTTGTCGTTTCTCGCTTTGTCGGTTGCGTTCCCCTATGCTACACCTGCGCGCCCAAATGGACATCCCAAAATCAGAGCCCAGATGAATCCAAAGGCCATCCTTTTAAATGACTTACTATCAGGGTATGTTGATTTTGGGCCTTGGAATCCTACAAGTTGGTGAACTTATCATTCAAAGCTGTGGTCATTGGCTATGGCCAGATTGTGCGAGGCGACGTCGTTGCAGGTGCCGACGTTGCAGGTGTTGCCACTTGGCTTTCAATGGCACCCTTTGCACTAAACCGAACCCCCCCCCGGGCCTTGTTGCTGGGTGATTTATCGACTCAAAAGAATGATCAACCCCCAAAAAGGGCCCCTTTCTGCAAACCAGGGTCACTGGGCAACTGGGTATGAATGCAAAGGACGAGTTTCCTGCGTTCATCCTTTGTCATGGCATTTGAAGCATTTGCTCGGTCGATTCACTTGCACGTATCATTTGCAGGTTTTTGCCCTGAGCACAGAAATCTGACGTTCTTGGCAACACCGCTTTGCTTGGACCAAAGACGGGCGTCGCCGAAGCCGAATCTGGCGAGCCAGGGCCACTTTGGCCCATGGCGTCCATCTGAGGTTGTCCGGTTGGCCCATCTATCCTCTGCTTGCGCAGCTGAACGCGCATAGAGGAGGTACGGTTTCTCAGTCCGAAGATGGGTAGCCCACCCCTCTCTCAAGGGCGGACAAACAATGCAAACGGGTACCCTCATGCCTGTTTTCGGGCCTTGCAAAGGACACCAGAGGAGCCATTCGGTTTGAAGGTTCCAACGGAAATGGGTGCGTCTTTCAAAGGGACAAGAGGAAACCAGGCTGCATGTTTGGGTTTCCTTGTTTTGAGACAAACCAAACAAGGTTCGGTGAGGTCCGTAAACCCTTCTCCGTGCCAGATACCCAAAACACAAAAGCATGTTTGCCACCGCCTGCACAAGGTTTGGGAGTACTTGTTTGAGCCATTGTGCGCAGGGTTCCGGGAACCTGCCAAAGAGGACAAGTGACTCAGGCTTCTGTGATGGACACCCCGTGTGATTTGTTTGTTGCCTTTTGCTTTTATTTTGTGCTTACTGTTCGTGTGGTGCAACGCAATTAGTAACCCTTACTAGGATTTGTGCGTCGAGCGGGCTGTAGGATAATCCGACCTGGGAGACTTGTTAGGTGCATTGCTTTGTCAGTTTCTACTTCCAGAGACCTCCCCAAACAGCCCTTCCCCAACCCCTTGGCAGTTTTGGCCCTATAAGGCTTGCTAAGCCCTCCTGGGGCTGTCTTTGGATAAAGCTTTCTAGGCTTCCTGTCAAATTGGGATCCCAGGAATATCAACAACCTCCCCAATCCACAGATCCTTTGGGGATTGATGGATTTTGGGGGGGAATTGTCTTTTTTGGCGAAGGGTCAACTGATTGCTTTTCTCCCAGAACATGGAGTTTGTTTTGGGCCCTCAGAACGGGTCCATGCTGAAATCCTGCACCACCTAAGAAACCAAGACAAAAACCATGCTTTGTTGGAAACAAAAACAGGGGAATTGAATCATCCCAGAAGGTTCTTAGGCGGTGCCTAAGAGGATTTCGTCCATCCACAGTATGAAGCTTGCGGAGATTGGCCTCATGATCAAGAAACATATGTTGTTTTTGGGGGTCGGGGGAAAGGACACCTCTCATTTTATGCGCTGTGTGTGTGTGGCTGTGTTTGTTGTGGTGATAGGGCCTCATGACCCGAGAAAACTCGCGTCTCGCGTCGAGGCTTGGGCCACGGCTCTCCAGCTCCGTGCGCACCGTCTGGCGCAGCGCCTGCCCTGCGCGGGCCACGGCGAGGCGACGCCATGGGACCCGGCCGCGCTTGGCGAAGTGGTGACTACTCAGATCCTTCATGCTGATTGTTGTTGGGACACAGTTTTTTTTTTTTTGTTTAAACAATTTTGCGTCTATTGTGCTTTGGTGCTTGAAATCCCACTCCACTGAACTGCTGACATTTGACAATTGTTGCTCCCCTTGCAACGTCAACCAAGTAAACTCAGATCCTTCGCGGCGTTTGGTACGTCATGGTGTCATTTCTCATTGGGTTCACGACCACCCTGAGTCATGTGCCGAGAAAAGACACCAACTTCGAGAACGGCCTGTGGGATGTCGTGGGTGCAAGGTAAATATATGGGCATGTGAAAGGGGCACCATGTCAAGAAAAAATGCCCAGGTTGCCAGGTTTTCAGTTGCTTTTGTGTGATGATGTTTTCGAGGAAATGCAGCTCAGAGACTCGCCCATTTCCAGCTCACCGAGGTTCCGCGAAAGCAAGTTTGGGAAGGGTTTTATGGCCCTCGCTGGAGGTTCGGTAAGGCTCAGCCCCATGCTGAGACACTCACGTCCGCTGGAACTCCCGGGTCTACACATCCTCAAAGTGGGAACCCAGCATCCTTGGGCGGGTATAGCCCCACTCAATCCGTGCGCCCCCCAAAAGAATTTGAGTTGCGCCCGATGCGCAGGCGATTGCACGTGTTTGTGAGGCCTGAAATGCACGTGTTTGTTTTGAGTGGGTTCTCCCTGGAGGTTCAAAAGGCCCAGAACCCCGCCCCCCAAAACGGATCCCATCACAAAGCTGCAGCAAGCCCTCAGGGTGCCCGGCGTGTGTTCCAAGAAGGGATCCAAATACGCGAGCGGCGTGTCGCAGTGCCCCCGAAGTTCTTGCGGAAACGACTCGCGCCCCAAATGGCTCCAAAAGCTGCGATGTGTGTTGTCGGAAGTCGCGCGCGTCCCCTAAAAAAACCCTCGGGGATGGCCCAGACACCCAGGAGCTGCGGCAGTGCCTCTGCCGCGCCCTGCGCCCCGTGGCCGTTGCTGCCTCGGCCGCGTGGCGTAGAGGTGGATGGGTTTGTTGCCCGTGCCACAGGGAGAGGGGGCTATAAACCCACTGAGCGTTTTGGGCTCATGTTCTGGATGTGTCAGGATTCCTCGGAATCCTGATCGATTTACAGGGGGTGTTCCCCAAGAGTGAAGGATTCCCTCAAAAGGGCACACCCCCCAAATAAATCAACATTGGGGTTTGCAAACCATCCCCAAACCTGAAGAAAATCGGGGTTTGCTAGGCGGGTGTGTGTGTGTGTGTGTGTGTGTGTGTGTGTGTGTGTGTGTGTGTGTGTGTGTGTGTGTGTGTGTGTGTGTGTGTGTGTGTGTGTGTGTGTGTGTGTGTGTTTTTGTTTGTTTGCGTCACCGTCACCCTTTGCAGGTTTTGTTTGTTGAGATCGAGCAAAGACTTCAAAAAGCGCTCTGTTCAAGCGGTATTTATTTTGTGTTCGATGGGATGACGTTTGTAGATTGGATATATATCTATATATATATATATATTTGCTATTTATATATGTTTTTGTTTATATACATACATACATACATACATACATACATACATACATACATACATACATACATACATACATACATACATACATACATACATACATACATACATACATACATACATACATACATACATACATACATACATACATACATACATACATACATACATACATACATACATACATACATACATACATACATACATACATACATACATACATACATACAGCAAATTCAGTGTTTCATCGAATCAAAGGCCGAATACATGGATTTGTTTCAGTTGGAGTCCTCCTGTATGGAGTTTGCGTGGCCGTGCATCGAATGCCTGGAGGGGGTCTTTTGGGGACATTTGGAGGCCAATGTTTGAACGGAACAAGTATCAGACCAGCGGCCTTAGAGCCTGGGTGCTAAATCACACCCGAGCACATGTCCCCAATGTTGATTTTGGATGCATCCACGGGACTGATACAAGCAGAGGAATCTCGCCTGAATAGTGGTTTCTCCCATTGAAAAGGAGAATCCCACCCGTGATCAATCTGGAGTGGTTCATCGATCGGAAGTGAGCATCAACAGGACCGTCAGCATTTGTATTTCCCGACTTTGAGGGAGCTTTCCAACTTTGAGGGTGCTACATGACCGCCTTTCTATAGCTGCTACATATAATGGCTATATCCGGGATTCCGAGTTTGTACTTCAGGGAGGATCCGGATCACTGTTGAGTGTGGCCACCCTATGTCCGTTGATGCAGCCGTGGTTCCTCGGGTCTCCGATCGCTAAGCTTGTTTGTGATCATTTGATTTGTTCAAGTCTTGCCCTGAGACCCGTTCAAATTTCCATATCGGAGTCATGGCGACTGGATGCCACGTTCCCGACAGCCACTCCGGCGTTGCAGAGCATGTTCAGCTGATCGACTGGTCCTCTCTTGGTCATGGGAGCCTAGTTGATCACCTCTTACTTCTGATGATTTGGTTGCAAGTGCCGGGCCCAAGACGAGGACAGCTAGTTTCACATACTGATTGAATAGCTACTTGCCTCTGGGGTTCGTGTCAAAATATGCATACTTTAGCTAGCCCTCAGGTTGGTATCCCCCAGTTCACATAGTGAGCAACCCTGTTAAAATCAATGAGTAGCGCCTGAACCCTGATGCCTTCAAATCTTCTGCGAGGAACTGCGCAGAGCCAAGAGGCTTAATCATAAGGGCCAAACCAAGGCCATGCCCCAAAACAACCATCCATAGGATCTCCCCCGGCTGGACATCTGGGGGAAAACCATGGTGGTCCTTGGCTGGTGAAACTCTCAATTCCTATCATGCAAAAAGGCTGCAACCATTTTCCGGGAATGGGAATCTGGACTGGAACTCCATCTTTGGTCCTGAAATGGCGGAAAGGTGAGGATGGAGGATCTTACTCACGCAACTGATCCATGGATCTACCTTGCAACATGGAGATTGATTGAGGTGCGTACAACGTTCATGAGCACCTTGGGGCCAAGCATCTTGCGGAAGGCTAGAGAAAGAGAACTCGGAATCTCCACCTCTCTCGCTCTTCTCAGCCGCTCAACGCGAGGTTTTGTTGGCCGTAGACCTTGCTTCCTCGCAGATTCACGTACATCCGAAAGAAGTTGCCTCTACGAACGATGTAGATCTTCATTCGAACTGGAGTATTTTTACTTTGTTCTTCCCAGCCGTCTTCTCCAGTTTTAGGGTTTACTTTTTTCTTTTCTTTTTTCCGGTTTTAGGGTTTAGATGGTTTAGCGGGTTTCCATTTAAAGCCACAAGTTCAGCTTTTCAGTTCGGAGAGCCCAGTCTCGACGGAGGATTTTGGCTGTCGGAGGCGAGTCTTTGGTGTCGCTGGCCCGCGGCTCCGCCGCTCAAGCGCTGCACCGAGCGCAGAAGCCTCTCCTGCTGCTGCAAGGCGTGGGGGGAACGTAGGTGAACCCAGGTGCCAGATGTCTGTGGGTGTCAAAACCAATGGGATCCCATTTTGGGGGATAGGTCAATCTGCCCAATACACCGAAAAGCCAGGATGTCCTGTGCAATATCCTGGTTCCTATGAACTCGCAAAGCTCCAAAGTGGCTGTGGTGGTCAAAACCGTTTTGGGATACCATTTTGGTTGGTAGGTGAATTCACCACCCATTTTGGGGCCTATTTTAGTGGTTGGATTGGGATGTTCACTGGGACGGGATTTTGACCCACAGCCAGATGGGTGTACGTCTTCTTTTTTTGGGGGGACCCCCTGAGGGTTCCCTTTGGTGTCCTGTTAAAGCCACGAACAAAAAGGGGCGCCCTCCAAAAAAGGACTCACCCAACTCGCCTTTGTAGTTTCATATATCAGCAAGAAACAGCCCAACGCTGGATGTTTGTGCAGTTTTTTTTTTTCTCGGACGCCCTGTTTGGTACCTAAGCAGACAAGAAGCCGTGCACAATGGGCGTGGGACCCATCTTTTTTGGTGCCTCCGAACCTGGAGAACTGTCTTGCGGTTTCAAGCGACCTAAAACCATGAGTTGTTTCATGGTTTCAGGAGCAAATGGAACATGAATGATCAACAATCACTATGAATTAGATATAAGAGAGAATGCTACAGTCATCAATTTTGATTCGAACACGTGTAGCAGTTGCTCACCCAAATCTGATGTCAGTCGGGGACACAATGAATACTGACCGTCTTTACATAAGGAGACCGAGAACGGACTCCGAAATCTTATCGGGGTTGATTTCCTGGTCCAAGAAGCAGCCACTTTTGCACGCGCGGCTCTTTTCTCGCAATTCGCAGTGGGTCACGGGCCTCGGTGGCGGTTTTCTGGCACCTCACATCCCTTCTTGAAGAACATCGACTTTGCCTTGCACTACAACCAGTCAATTTCTGCCCATGTCAGACGGACCTGAGCCCTGCCACAACACGTTCAGAGGATGTGAGAGGCACACGCTTTTGCGCTTGAATCGGTCAACCAGCACTTTGGGCTCACACCTCCCTCAAGCCACTGCTACAGTTGACACCTGGGGAATGTCTAGCATGAGACCTGAGACCCTTTGTTGGATGGCCACTTTGCTGGTGAAGGCATAAGTCAGTGCCTGGCCACGGGGAGGTTTGACTCATTGAAGGCTGTGGCTCAAGAAATGTAGCCAAAATGTCATCTTGGTATATGGCTGTGGCTCAAAAACATGTACCAAAATGGCACCTTGGTGAATGGAACCAAAGACTATCATTTGCGTAACCCTAGCTCTTTAGTGTTGAGCCACACCTACATGAGCCACAATCAAAACCTGGGTAGATGGAGGTTAGTAAGGGAGACTCCCAGCCATAAACCCGCCTTCTTAATTCTTCACATTCTGGGTAGACCATTTTAATACCAGGCTTTGAGCAAGTGACTGCACATGTAAACAAGAAACCCTAGGGTCTGACCCAGCTCTTTCCTTTTTGAGCCACACGTCTTTGGGCCTTGGGGCGTTCGGCAGGGCACTGGGATTCGCTGTGGCAGCCGGACTTGGTTCTCGGCGCCATCAGTGCCGACGCATGGCTGGGAGGCACGGGTCGTATCCCCTGTTTGGAAAGGGCTGGGTAGACGTGACTATGACTAGGTCCCCCAGTAGCCAGCTAGGTGCCCTTTCTCACCCTCTTTTTTGGGGGAGGGTTCCCCTACTAAAAAAATAGACTACAGAAAAAAGTTGGTACCCTTATTCTAACCTCTCTACTGGAGGACCCTACCTGGTAGTCGTGAATAACATCCAGACTCACCAGGTCATCCAGGGAAGCCAGTGCTTGCCTCTTGCATTCCCTTTGAACGTTGGGTTTCTTCCATAGCGATCTTGGTTGCCTTTTGGAGGGAATTGGGATCGAGCACTGGGATACATCCTCCAAGCTTTTCCATGTTCTCGCGACCCCTAGGGTCAGAGGGGGATTTGAAGAGTGCCGCTGAACGAAGATCGATGAACCGTGGCAAATCCGCTCAAAGTTCTAGGGGTTGATTCCCCATTCTTTTCAACCATCGTCCTTTTCAAAAACCGGATCTGTTTCCCCTGGGGTTTTGATGGTTTTCGAAAAAGAAGGATCCCTGGAAAGAATGGAAATGGAAGTGTCCCCTAGAAAGGTGTCGGATTCCAGTTGAGGTATGCCAATCTATCGCAGGCTTCGCGCGCCTCGCCGAAGAAGCTGATCTTCACGCGGGCGGCGGGGGCTTCGGCTTCGGCTTCGGCGGGTGGGCGCGCACCTTCGATTTGCAGGCGGCAGAAGCAGAGGAGGCGGGGATGCCTTTTTTTTTGCAGCAAGTACCAAATGGGTATGGGTCAAAATCAATCCACTACTGTAGGGAACCGCAGGCTTTAGTCCTTGTTTCCATTTAACAGAGTTGGTACCCATTTTTGACCCACAGCCAAATCTGCACCAGGCAATGGGTACATTTGGGGTACCAAACCTCTGACAAGACCAGAGGTAGTTAAAGCTCCTTGGGTCAGTCATGGTCATGGTTCCTTTCGGCCCAGTGGTTGTCTAGTACGAAGTGTTCCAGCAGCCCCACAAGAGAAATTCCCGCCGAACATGGAGCGAAGATCCCTTCAAGGAGCAAGAATGCTTGAGTTCCCGAACTTGAATTCTGTTTTTGGGACCATTTTAGTGGCAAACAAGCTTTGTCGCAGCTTCCCCTTCATTGGTGGTTTGGATTGGTGGTTTGGGGATTTGAACCCCTTCTTGTAGACGGCGAAAGGGAAACCATCCCCCAACTTCCAAACCAAACCAAACCAAACTACCAAGCCACTCAGAAGCTGAAAGTCTGCTTGCTTTGGCCCCTCACTTCCGGAACTTGAATTTTGTGTTTGGGACCATTTTACGGGCAAACAACTATAAGTCATGGTGACCTTTTTTGGGGGGCAAACCCCGCTTCGGAGCTCGGCGCGGTCCTCTCCTCGTGGGCGGGAGGTCCCCGGCGTGGCCTTTGCGACGCTGCTGTCCGATGAGGGCGACGCCGCCCAGTGGCTTGGGGCGGTGGAGGTGATGTCCTGGTCCTTGACGCGCTTCCACGGGCGCGCCTTGGCGCCAGAGACGAGGCGTCCCGTAGAGATTGCCTTTGCGCGAGAGGTGTCTCTTACTTGAATAAAAACCCAAGGTTTCAAAACTCATAGATGCAGCTAAAAGGACATTCTACAGGACATTTGCCCAATACTGCACCAAAAAACCAGGATTTCCAGTGCAATGTCCTGCTGCTTCCTATGAAACCGCAACTAGGTCCCTCAGCCAAGTGCCCTCTTACCAACTTTTTTGGTTGGGAGGGTTCCCCTACTAACATAGACTACAGAAAAAGGTGGGTACCAACTTATTCTAACCTCTCTACTGGAGGACCTAGAAACCGCAAAGCTCCAAAGTGTCCTGCGGTTTGTCGGGTGGATGCCAAGGCAAGGGCAGACTTCTGGTGCCGCTTCTCGTCTTGTGCCAGGCAGCTTGTGCTTCCAGTGATCCCCAACCAAAGATCATCCTCTGGGCTCGCAAGACATACTGTGGATGGACAAAATCCTGCACCACCCAAGAAACAATGGGGAACCATTGTTTGTTGGTATTTACAGGGGAATCATCATTTGCAAGGTTTCTTAGGTGGTGCAGGATTTCGTCCATCCACAGTAGGAGACATAGGCGTCCCTTTTCAGCTTAGTTTGCTTTTCTTTGTAGATGGCACTGGTTTAGATGGGGTTTTCTTCCAGTTACCCTGAGCGAAAACACCTACTGTGGATGGACGAAATCCTGCACCACCTAAGAAACCCTGGAAGGATGATTCCGCTGGTTTTCCATGGTGTCAAGTGGTGCAGGATTTCGTCTGACATGCCGCTGGCCCTTCACTCATCTCTTGGGAGACTCCTGCGTTTTTGGACGCTACATGTGGGGCGGCAAGCATTTTGTAGTGAGTTCTTCCCAATTTCGCGACCTTATTCGCATATCTTGGGCGGGGAGTGGACAACATTGACACCCCAAGGGTTGGATGGTTTTAAAGCGACACCGCCTTTGGCAGAAAGCTCGTGTCCCCTTCTTTCAAAGAAGTTGACAGCTTCCAGTCGTGTGAACATGATTGCAGGATGTTATGTGAACAGTTTCATGGTTCCCAGCTCACGGTCCTTTGGCCCTGGTGTAAACTGGCCGATCTATCCTGCAAGCTGCCAACTGAATCTGGAACCCCATGCAGAACCTGTTGTTTCGGCTTCACGTGTTATCCAGGGATTGTAGCCGCCTAGTGTGACAGAGACGAAGGGAAGACGTCAGTCCCAAGGTCAAGGAAGGCAAGGCTATATGCGGCTGTACTTCAAAAAAAGCACTTTGTTTTCCCTGGCTTTGGTGAACGTGTCTTTGGACAACGTGGAAGAATTTGCTAGCCTTATTTGGATCGTTGCGAGCCGCATGCGCGGTATATAAACCTTTGACGGTGTCGACTGTCTATAAGGGGAAAGGGTGGCCCTCACAGCCCAAGAGGAAAGCAATATGTCCTGGTGGTGCATGGAAAAAAAGCAACAAAAAACAGTTGGACCTTTGGCGGGCTTCATGTTGGTACCTTTTGTGAATGTTCCCTGAATGGTCTCTAGCTTTCACTGAATGTGTTGGGTGGCTCGTTTCGTTTTGCAGCCCATCAGGGATACCCGCTGTCCGACAACGCTGTCCGGGAGACAATTGTCTACAGAAATGTCAGTCTCAGATTACTAGATCAATCTTCTGCTTTGCGGTTCGACCTTCACCCTTTGGAGTTGGTAAAATAAATGGCTTTGCCTCATAACTAGCACCGAACAATGACTTAATGAAGGGTTCACAGACCAACACAGACCCAACACAGCACAACCGATATGGTCAAATGCGCACGTTGCTGCTTACTTCACGGTGCGACCGGTTTTAGCGGGTCCCAAACACACCAAAGGGCAACAAACTGCCACTGAAGCACTGAGGTACTCACCCCGCCCTTGGGTGGTTGTACGACACAATGGGCAGAAGAAACAAACAAAACAATTCGCCAACAAAGAAGAGAAGCTCCCGGGTTCCTCAAGAAACACAACTTCATTGTGGGGAAGGGTTTAAACCCCATTTGTTTGGTCATTACAATTTGCCAGAAAGGTTTATCCATGTTGAACCACTCAATGCACATTGTTCCTATCTTTTGGGTGTTACAAAAAGCTTGTCTGAGCAAGTCAGACGCGACGTATCCGAAGGAGAGATGCGGCCTCATCCATGCTGGGCTGCAAGAGAGGCGGGAAAAAATGGGATGCATGGCAAGTGGATCTGTCCTTAAATGGGAAAACTCCCAAAATGGGCGATTTCTCTTTGTTTCCATTAAAGTCCACCCCAGTATCTTTTTTTGAGAGTTGATTCGTTTTTGGGTTGGTTGCTTTCAATGGCAAGCCGTGATGAGGGTCCCCTTTGTAGTCATCTCCGAGAAGTTGTGCCAGGTAACTTCTGGCCTTTGTGCCTTTCCGGAATGGACGCTCAGCTGGTTTGATATCTTTTTTTCCTTCCAAGGACCAACCCAAAAAGCAGGCACCCCAGAGACAGCCCTCCCCAAAGATGCCCCTCCGCTGGCTGATCATGTTTAAGTTTTTGGTCAACAAGCCTCGTAGCCAAGCAAGGCAAAATCAGTCAAGGCCTGAACAGAGGGGGCAGTGTTTTTTTGAAGGTGGCTTGCCCCTGAATTGATAGAATCGATTGTGGTGCAGAGGATATGCTGGGTCAAACTGAAGAAGTCGTCCTGGGCACGGGAGGTACGCACGCGCCTACCTCAACCAACTGCAAGGGTTTTCTGCTCTTTTGCCCAGTAAGTCAAGCAGCCCCCCACGGTGCCAGGGGCTTGGTGCCTGTTTCGGCGCCCGAGCTCTCCATCGCGGCGCTGCCAGAGAAGCGTCCGGTGCCCAGCCGCGACGGCTGGCGGCGGCTACATCTCTGGGGCCTCACCGTCTTCAGGAGGAAGCGTCTGAGAGCGTGATGGGAATTGGCTAGGTCCCCCGGTAGTGCCCTATTCCCGTTTCTTTTTTTGGGTGAGGGTTCCCCTACTAAGATAGAGTACAGAAAAAAGTTGGTTCCCTGTCCCTTATTCTAACCTCTCTATTGGAGGACCTAGTTGGGTGCCCCACCTCCCACATGGAACCTGACCCTTTGAGAGGAAAGTGGCCTTCAAGGGTGTTCCCCTCAGATTCCATGTTAGTGTGAGGGATGGTAGCTTGTTTTTGGGCCGAAAGTTGTTTTTTCCCTTGAATACGGGGTTGTGGTTGATCAATCGGGGTTTATCCCGACTTCTGTGTTGTTGTTGTTTTTGGGGGGGGTAGCCTTCGGGAAGCCTTTTTTTTTGTTGTATCATAGACTCGTGGATTCCAGTTCAACCACAGAGCTGCTTGAGGATCGTGTACTTGGACGCGGACACGCTGGTGGTTGGCAGCCTGCAGCATTTGCTGCAGCTGCCCAGTTCCGTGCACTTCGCGGCGGCGGGCTTGGGCGCCTCAGCTTGCGGTTTTTGTTGAATGGGTGCCCGGGTCAGTGGCTGATGTTACGTTCAAAACCCACGAAAGGATTTGGTCTTCCTTCGGGCTTGGGGATTTGAACCCTGCTTTGGAAAAGTTTTGAGCGCTTGGTGAAGCTGTTGGCTGCTGCACAGGGGCATCTTTATTCCATTGAAATAGGAGCATCACCCACTTGCCACATCGAAGTGCTGGTATGGACGCCTTGGCGGTCCAAAGGACCATGAGCTACCTTCCCAAGCTCCCCTGGCTATCCACTAAAGAATGCAGCCCTCTCTTTGAACCAATCAGCTCTCTCCTTCAACCAATCACGGAAGCATGCATTTGACCCGAACATGGAAGTGCACATGATTGCAAGAGTGAATCTTTTTATACTTTCTCAGCCCATGTTTGCTTCGGCTTGAGGCTTGGACCATCAGCAAATCCGCTTTCAGCGGCTGAACACCGGGGTCATGGCCATCGTGCCAGACCGGGCCCTCTTCGAGGCCTGAAAATGTTTAGTTTGGCTCGAACACGTACGTTCCTTGTTGGCCGGTTCAGCGTAGCTCCTTAGATGTCCTATCAATTTTCACTTTGGTTGCAAATGGATGGATTCCACGGGGTTACGGTGTAATATGTTTGTTTTCTCCACATGTTTGTGAGGGGCGTTGCCTGGAAACAACGGTTTTTTGATTTTTTTCCCAGGGGTTGATGTTACTACAAATGCCAATACAGTTAAACAAATATGTTACACCCTTTCCTCACAAGAGTGTTGGAATATCTATTTGTTCTGTGGTCTGTGGTCTCTTTATTTTCAGCAAGGTGCCAAACGGAGCCAATCTTCAGGTGAATTGGTTCCCAAAGAGGAAGCCGGTAGGGGACTGATTTGAAAGGAATACGCTGAGTACATGTACTGTACTCTTGTCGGTTGCAAGTTGAGATAGTATTTTGTTGTGTGGCTCCTACTTGTGATAATGAAGTGGGAAGCCACCCTCAGCATCGCAACAGTGAATTGCCCCTGGCACTTGACCTTGCGAGCTTTGCTATGGTTAGCTTCCCCAGGTGAGAGACAACAAACATGACGGGGTCGATCCCAGTGCAAACTTTTGTTTTGCGGGAATGACGGCTGTCAGGAGGCGTTGCTAAGGTGTCTCATCCAGACATGATTCAATTGTCTGAGCTCGGGCTTGCGAAGAGGGTCTCACAGCAGATTTGTTGTTCGGGGATTCCAGGGGATCAGAGTTTGATGCTGAGATTGTCCAAAGGTTTGCAGATTTGCAATCGCAGGCCATGCGAGACACTTTGGAGCACGGCGTGCTGCACGCACACCCCGAGTTCCGACTGCAAGGACTGATCAGTTCAACGTAGTGCCCAAAACCCTTGACCAACTCAGTAAGGGTTCCTGCTACCTTGCCCTCCTGCAATTAACAGCATGGAACACCCCAAAAAGGGTACCTCCCAACCCAATCTGATTAGTTTGGCTCGGGAGCGTTGCCCCCGGAAAGCTTTGATGTGGTACGCCTCAGGATATTTGGACCAAGCCTGGGTGGACCTCTTCTTCCGCTACATTTCCCGGCAGCCCCGGGGCGGGTCTCTCTCCGGCGCCCAGACAGAATAGGGTTTTGTGTTTGAAGCCCCGTCTCGGCTCCTTTGAAGGGAGACTGAGGCGGTTCTTTGAGCAACTTTTGACATGACGATCGCTGAAGCACAAGTGATCGTCAGGCTCCGCACAAGAACCTCGGGTTGATTGCTTCACGCGTCTGATGAGGAGGCATGGGAAAGTAGAGTTCTCAGAGGAAGATGTTGTTGCTCTTCAACCAACTTTCCGCCACCGCAGCAGTTGTTTTTCCAGCGCCAACCGCGCACCACCCTCCGCAACTCCATCACGCTCGAGCTGTCAGCCGTTACCGTCGAACACGCTCTGCACAGCGTTGTACGTCTTACGTAAGTCTGCGTCACACCTGCTAGCCGCAGGCACTGGAAAAGCACCCTACGCAACACCTTCGCCACACTATTCGCCATCCTTCAGCAGTGCAGCACAAGCAAGCAGCAGCCGCAGCGTCAACCGAACTTTGCAATACCCTGCACAACTTTTCGTCACACCCGCCAGATGCACCCTTGAACAGCACCTTGCCCAAAATACAACAGCACGCTTCCCAACGCCACCCTGAGCTGTTGGGTGTCTTAACCTTTCTCCTCTACTTGTAGTTAGGACCCATACAGCTTGCAACTATCTGGGTAAGAACTGGATGAAGAGTGATGAAGAGCATTGAAGAGCGTTTTTTTGGCTTTCGCGGTTCTGTGTAAGTTAGCATGTGGCCTTTGACATCCCTCTACCGAGTGGGCGACGCAATGGCTTAGGTAGAGATGGATCTTCTGTGTGGGAGGCTTGGAAGGGCGGGGGGAAGGCCTGCAATGGTATCTTTGGTTGCATGAAATAGTGAGAAAACTCGATACCTAGGGCCTTAGGGGCTGAAGTTTTACCTTTGTCGGTTTGCAGTTTTGTTTTTTTCTCCGAGGTGTTTTTGTTTTTGAGGTTGGGGTCAGCAAGAAGAAACACATATCCGCAAGAAGGAAACATTTGCCATCGCAGCCTGGGCATTTCACCTGCTAACCCCATCCGAATTCTATTCAAGTGAACCAGAGGAAACAGCCAACTTGTGTTTCCTTACCCGATTCTCTAGATTACAGCTAAAATCTAATTAAACTCCTAGATACTTGGAAAGGACATCCCATCTAAAATATGATTCCAAACAAACTATAATTGAATCAGTTAGAAGAAACTACCAGCTTGTGTTTCGTTTCCAAATTCTAGTTATGGCCACGTCAAGTAAAGATCACATTTGGAAAGACATGTCCATTTCGATTTGGAAGGACATCCTATTCACAATATGATTTAAGATAATAAAACAAATATAGAACTATATCATATTTGAACGCATATTTGGATAAGATTCCATTACACATCTAAACCAACAATCGATTAAGTTCAAGGTTCTAATTAACGTCTAATTGGAATCGTGCTTGGAAGGGAAGTGCCGACTAAAATTTTAATTCAAGAAGAAGGGAAGCCTGATCGAAAGCTCCACCACGAATCCATTCGCAAAAAGGCCACGCACCTGAACCAAGTACTCCAAACCCGCCTACGCGCAAGGCCTACGCGCACCAAGAAGTAGCTGATGTATTGCAAGTGGCAAGCGAGTTTTTTTCATCTCTGGCGGCTTTGTGTCAAAACATTGCAGTCCTGAATCCATTGCATCTGTTTCCTCTCACTCGCTGTCACTACAAATACGGCCAAAACGTATGTGTTGCCCGCGACCGCCCAGAAGCGGGTCCCCGAGACCTCCAAAAAGCTTGGCAGGCGCAGCAAAAACACACTTCCGAGCCCCCCGGGCCCCACCCCACCTCCATGCTCCATACCCCCTTCATGGAGCGCAGCGACTTTTCCTGGTTATATAGTGCTATCATCAACACAACCCTAAACCTACACCAGACAAGCCAGCCACGCATGCGCCGGACAGCCAGCTCCAAGCAAACCTAAACCCGAAAATCCCTAATCCTAACCCTAAAAACCCTAAACCTAAGCCCTAAAACCCCTAAACCTAAACCCTAAAAACCCTAAAAACCCTAAACCTAAACCCTAAACCTAAACCCTAAAAACCCTAAAAACCCTAAAAACCCTAAACCCAAACCCGAAGAACCACCTGCCAGCACGATCATACTGCATGAAAAAGACCTTGTGGGCGACACGTATGTTTTGTGGGTACAAATACAATACGCAACTTGTTTGTCAGAATGGTGCGTTGCTTCTCCTCCATCCATTGCATTTGCTCACTTTCACGCTTTGCTATCACTGCGAATGCAAGAAAGTGCAACTTGGATCTGTTCATGCATCTGTGTGTGTGTGTGTGTTTTTAGCGTGACTTTGTTTGGTTGTAGCAAAACAAATCCTTCCTTCCCTGTGCGTCATCATGTTTCTGATCTTGGTGTTTTTCCCTTGGGATGTTTCCCTGGGTGTACGCTCATTTCCAGGTGGATTTGCAAAAACAAGCCAGCCAAACACGAGAACAGCCCCAACAAAATGCTCGGTGGCCGCAAAAAACGGGCGAAACAAATGCCCGCGAATCTTGCTATGTAGTCAGAAAACAGATATCCGTGAATCTGCAATACTAACTTCCGACTCTCATAATATAAGTAGATGCTGCTCGCTGTCCACTTTGCTCAGATCTCCACACAGTCCAAGTGGAATGCTGACTGGGCCCAGGCGGCCATGCTAACTCCCGAAGTGTCCACTCCATGTGCACTGAAACTTAAAGGCTGAAGTGCGGAGGCCTGGAAGCCGAAAAGAAGACTTCTCAGTGATATTTCTTAGGGATTCGGAGCAGATTGCTGAGGTTCCTGAAGGTGTCTTGGTGTTTTTTGTTGCATTTTGGTACGCAGGTTGCTTCAGCTCCCTGTTCAGTAAGCAGTTGTAGGTAGTCCCTTGCGATCTGGACCTCTCTCTCTCTGATTGGGGCAGTCGAACCCAGTGCTAAACGGAAACCAGAAATCGTTCAGCCCCCGGGATGGGTCTTGTTGTCATAATTTCTCACCAATTAACATGCAACCTGGCAGGGGGGGTCCGGGAAGACCTCTGTCCTTTTAAAGGGACCCCCTGTTAGGTTCATGTGATTTGGTTTACAAAAAACTCAATTTTTGGTCGGGGGGGGGACATGGGGCCTTTACAATTTTTTTGGGGGGGGGAGACAGCCCAACGCCTTGAGCACCGCGTGCCCCGCTCCGACGATCCGACCCGCAACCCGAGCGCGCCAGGTGTGTCCCCCGCTGGCCGCTGCCCTGCCAGCGGAGGTGCTGCAGCAGCCCTTGGAGGTCTTCGCTGGTGCTGGGGCGGCGGACCTGAACGCGGCCCGGCCCAAGACTGGCGGGCCTTTGGCTCCAGGGCGGGTTCCCGTTTTGTAGGGTGTGTCTTATTTCAAGGTACCCTTTGCGTGGTCGTTTGGAAGGGAAACCGGGAGAAAGAAAAGGCACCCAGAAACAATCCGCGTCTTTACAGCTCATTTTGTGCTGGGGTCCACGTCTGGACCAGCTATATGGGCCTGGGTAGGTGAATGGTTCTAAATGGTTCTGGGTATGTTCATGCCAGGAGCTCGAAAGGCGCTTTTGTTTCTCTGGTCGTTTTCGTTGCCACATGTGGAACATATGGCCGAATGCAGAAGATTCTGTTGTTGCCGTTCACCTTGTTGATATACTTGTGTCTTGTGGATGTTCATTGTTGAATGGATCGTGATTGGTAAAGAGTCCCCCCTTCTCCCAGCAACATTTTTTTTGGGCGAGGACGAATAAAAAAAACACCAAAAAGGAATTCGGGGCAAAACTGGGATTCCCCGGTCATGTTTGGTTCTCCTTGGTCCTCTGCGGTCCTCTGCGGTCTCCTTTGTTAGTTGAGTATTGCTTGGTACTGGTCAGTCATGGCGTAGTATTGGTTTAGTGGCTTCGGTTTAGCATTGCTTGGTACCAGTTCCTCTTAGTTTAGTGTTACTCTAGACATGTGTATTGCTGCTTCGTGTTGTTTTCGTATTCGTTTCGAATTAGTTTGGCCTTGCTTCGCTATTGGTTGAGCATTCGTCTGGTAGACAGATAGGTTGGGGACACCTCTAGGTGAAACACCTGTTATTGTTCGACTACCTTCAAACAAGTACTAGTATTTGCTAGTTTGATGTGTCCCCTGTGCAGCCCCATCGACGTGTTTGGCTCTTTTGTGACATGGCAGGCAGAGCCTGGCGGTTTGGGGCCGAGTCAATCTTCAGTTTTGCTGGCTCATAAATTCGGTTTGCATTGGCTAGTATTCCTTTCGTGTTGCAACCGGGCTGAGGGGCTTTTTTTTTCTTCCCCCCTCGATTTGGCAGTTGACAGGTATAGTGTTCAGGCGTCTTTTCCTGCTTCAGTTCGCCAAGTTGCTGAGCATCGCCCATGGCAACTGGATGGCCAGTCTGGGCAGAAGGTTCCACCAGGCCACATGTGTTCAACTTCGTACCAGGTTCCCAACACGACAGGAGTTGATTTGACTTACACAAAAGGGTTGACTTCCTAGGTGCAAGTAT